TTTTATAATTTTAAATATGTAATTGAAATAGTTTCTTATTTAAAAACAGCCCTTCTGTGTTTCCCATCCAGACATTTTACCATTCATTCCTTAACGGTGCTGCTCAGGGTTGGCCCAGAAACGTAATCCAACAACACTTGACTTGTATGTGTAAAAATTCAATTAGATATTATATTGTAAGGTCTTGGAGATTGGGGTTATCATTTGCTCTATATTTGAATATTGCTCAACACAACAGGCACTGGATAAGCAATGCAAATTTGAGCATAGTAACAAAACAATAAAAAAAATATTTGAAGTTATGTTAAATATGCATGAATTTTAATAGGGGCATTAGCATGTAGTAATTTACATGATTACTGATAAGCCTGGGCATGCAACTACATGCAACCCCCCCCCCCTGCTGCCTCTGTGTCAGTTAGTGGGGGGAAGGCAGGAGCTAGTGCCAATGGCTACCGTGGAGCCGCCTGACCTCACCACCACTGCCTCCCACAGAGGCAGCAGTGCAGCAGGTGAGGGGGGCAGGTGGGAGCCTATGCACATGGGAAGTGACTTTCAAGCTGGCTCCTCGTGTGTATCCCTCCACCCGCCATGAAGCCGCCTGCCCCTGTGCTGCTGCTTATTTATCAGAGGCATCAGGGGGAGGTAGGTGGGAGCTGGTGTATTGGTTCCCACCTACCTACGCTGCATGTAAATACGCAACTGATAAAAATTCCAGTGGTTACACCTTCATCCAATTACATGTTAGTTAACATCTCTAATTTTTAACCAGATTTATGATGAAAAGGACAAAATATAATACTACTGATGCACACTTATTAGTAGATTACTCATGTTTCCTTTAACATTGTAATATAATTTGCTCTGAGGGAAAGGAAAACGGCTTCTTTAATAAATGAGTACACTATATGAACTGATATAAATACTGATAATCAGTTGAAAAATTGCATTGTTTTAATTTCTGTTTCCAAAATGGTAAGTATGTATATCAATATGATATGCATAACAATATCTAAGCAACTTCACCTCAAAGGAAACAAGAGCTGTATTTTTCCAGAATAAATATGACAAAGCTATCTATCAGCCTATCTATCTTTGTAATTATGTAGCCCTCACTGCATCAGCTAGCAAAGTACCAACTAATCTCTAACCAACATGACTAATGGAAAAATACAGGCTGTTAAATTTACTTTCTTATGCGTACTGAACACGTCATGGTTTATTCTGATGAGGGCAAGTTGTGTTACAGTTTGAGCTGCCCACATTTTTGTTCCTAAAGAAGAATTTGTATGTTTGATAAAGACATCAGAATACTGAAGGAACATACTGTGAAGGGGCTTCATCAATTCATATGGTATGCTGTGTTACTGTCGGACATACTCAGAGATATTACGATACAGAGAAAGGTACAAGAAACAATGAAAAGAACTGACAGTTTCTTGTTGGAGGGTAAACTCCCAGTCTGATGTGATAAAAGAAAAAAAAAGCCTACTGCTCCCAAACAAAGAACTGTCTCAGTATGAAACAGATTTTTTCAGCTAATGAATTCATGTACTTGAGCAACTGTCTTCTATGCAGCCCTTTCAACAATAACAAACATGATGAAAGATTATCCAAAGCAACCTATTTATCAGTAACAGTCTGATTTTTCAGTTTCTGGAAGTGTTTGCTGGTTTTTATCATGCTTAAGTGTATCTTACTTAAAAAAGTTCTGGACAGGGGGTTATAATCCAGCATCTGGAGACTGTTCTTATTAGAATAGATGGCTCAGTAAAATAATTCAACTGAACTAAAACTTAAGAGACAGACACATAATTGTGCCCCATCACAAAATTCTCTGAACTTTAGCGTTTAAAAAAATGTTTTCATACTTCTTTGCAAATATTTTATGTGTTATTAAATGTTTTGCTAATATTTTGCCATCTTTGGCTGATGATCCGATAGACTTACTTACCTAAGATACAACATAGTTTCTAATATGTTATTTTCTAAAACAAGTTGATCCCTTCCTATGCTAGAACCGTTTTGTTGGACCAATGTTAGAAGTGTATGTAAGCAAGATTCTCAAACATCGTCCCTAAATTTGAATCACTTCCGCTGGATCCTGTATAATAAAACAGAGTAGCTTAGATACATAGATTAGTGGTTAATTTGTATTTCATTTCTAGGAGAATCCATGATCTAAGCAATTGCTTAACTAACCACCTAGTTCTATAACTCCCTATCTCAAATGCCCCTTCAAATGCCAGCTTCAAACAAATCATTCTTAAACACTGGAATAAATTGCCTACGGGGGTTGTGGAATCTCAATCACTGAAGATATTTAAGAGCAGGTTAGAGGGACACCTGTCAGGGATGATCTAGATGGTGGTTGGTCCTGCTGAGAGGGCAGGGGACTAGACTCCATGACCTCTGAAGGTCCCTTCCAGGTCTAGTGTTCTATGATTCTTCACTCCCAAACTGCACACTGTTGTATATTCTTTACGGTCACAAAAGGAACCCAGCTCAGAAGGCCAAGAAGGGATCAGTCCATTAAACTAAATCTTCTTATTTTACTCCGTGTATTGCACATCCTCCAGTCACATTAAGACCTAATTTATATTGATGGCCCTATGTCAGCTTGCACAGCTCAGGATCTACGCTATAAAATTATATGCACGCTTTAACTTCTAGGGAGTTAGTATCTGTCAACTTTCTTTATCCTTGGAAAAGACAGACCCGGCACTTCTAGGGTTTGAATTTATGTTGCTTGAAAGGCAATGTTTATTAACTTTTATTCAGCTCAATTTCTCAGACCCTGTTCCTTGGTTTATATTTTTGGAGTCAGAGACTACATTATATTCACATTAGAGATGTAAAGTAAAGGGGAGACATTACAATTTTCAATGACATGCCTGCAGGTCCATAGGAATATTATTTTTTTTCTTCATTAAGGTGCCACATACTTCAGGAAGGGTGTCATTTCTGACTCTCACAATGGTGAAGATGTTAGAACTTCCTGGAGCACCTATACCACTCCATTGTTTACCACTTAGCCTGAAGGCAAGGGAGCAATAGGGCAGCTACGTGCTGGATCAACTGACTTTTCAGGCCAGATCTGGCCCACCCCTGGTCTTGGCAGATTACTTAATGATCTTTCTAAATGTTATTCGTATAATTAGTAACTATCGTAAAGTGCTTTGATCAAAAGCACTATATAAAACCCTTAACTATTAACTTTTTTTTGTTCTGCAAATAAAAGCACAGAAATTCACATTTTAATACAAGTAGTCAGACCTTATAATGTGATAGATGTGCCTGTTTTTGGAAGCACAGTTCATGGCAATACAGTGTAATGTTTGTCAGCTTTACCCTGAGGTCAGGTTCTGCATTCATCTTGCTTCTGTATTTGGACTTGAGGGCAATAAATCATGAAAATTTTGTCTTGCAAGGTACATAATAGCAAATGGCATCAGAAAACACACTGCTTTGTCTACAAGTTCTGGGGACTCTCCAGTTCTTTGAATCCAAAACTCAGTTAGGAAACTCTAAATTCTGACTGTAAGGTTTCATCATAAGAAAGTTTCAACAAGAACTCTTGTATCTTACTGGATAAACAGGAGGGCCGCTCACTGAATTCAATTCCAAAAGAATTATGTAACTGGTTGTCTGGTTTAGTTCCTATTGGAAAGTAATCCTCAGACTGTTGCTTAAGAGCAAAAAGATGTTTTTTGATGTAATTGGTTTTGGTCAACAACCAGCTCATTTTCAGGCATAAAATCTGCCTGAAAATACGTAACCTCAGCCAGAACGATCCACAGACCGCTTGAACGGATCTTGCTGACCATTGGTGCTCCACAGACTACAGTAGGGATGTTAAATTTAGTTTAATCAGTTAATTGACCACTCAATAGATTTTTCCATTGACAAGTCAATAAGACAGGGAGCTGCAGCAGGGTTAGCTCCCTCCTTGAAAGCTAACCCCATTGTGGCTCTGCCTTTTAAATGTATTAAGAGCTAGCAGGCTCCTAATACACTTAAAAAGCTGAAGTGTAGCAAGTGGAATCCAGCTTGAGCCAGGACAGCTGAAACATAATAAAGCTGGAGCGCAGGGGCAGGATCCAGCCCAAGCCAGGAATCAGCTGTCCTGGCTCACGCTACCCCCGCTGCCAGTAGGCTTTTAATACCTTTAAAAAGCAGAGGCACAGTGTCTGGGACTGGGTGCGAGCCGCTACCCTCCTGCCTCCCATGAAGACGGTGCTGGGGGGGGAAAAAGCTGTCTTTTAAAGCCAGCTCCCTCCCCTTGCGACCTCTGACAGAAACAGCAAGGGGGGGGGGAGCAAGTAGTCACTTACATCCCTAGACTACAGTTTGAGAACCTCTAGACAAGACGATCATTATAAAAATCTATAAGTCTATGCTGCTGTAGCCAACTACTCAAAGGCAGCACTTTTACTCAGGTAGCCAAGAAACCACAAACCATATATTTAGGCTCTCCTACTATTATTTTATTTGCATCTGGCTAGGCAAGTTCAAAAAGGAGCCTTAGCAAGGGCAATGGGCTAAAATTCTACCCAACACTGAGGGGAACAAATAAGTAAATCAGTCCTCATTCAAGAGTTTTACATTGAACAGTATGAGTAATTCTAATTGTAGCTCTGAGGGGGAAGATGGGAAAATGCTGCTCAGTGGTCCAAAGTAGGCTCATTACATGATCTGTTGCTGTGGAACGCCATAATCAAAAGGGTGGAACAATCCACCAGCACACTTATCACAGTATGTTTTAAAGCACCAAGTGCATTCACATATGTGATTTGAAACATTTTCATGTATCACAAATTTTGTTCCAAAAACAATTCTCTGATGAAAGATTTTATTTTCTACATAAGATTGTACAGTATGTAAAATTCTATTATGAGCTATTGTTATACCATTGTTTACTCAAAACTATGGAGAAAGCTCTTTAGAATAGCTCACGACTGTGCTGCATTGAAAGGAAAGAGGAACAGAGAATACATTGCTTCAATTTACATATACACATTTTATTTTAAGACCTGTAATTTGTCTATAGCCAAACATACAAAGTCCATAGCCAAACATACAGTGACCTGTGATAGCAAAGCTTCAAAACCTGCACAAACAGAAAAATTTAACAGTTCATTCAACACCAAATAAAAGTGACAATGGATTCCTCAATAGTGATACCGGAAGCTTTCCAAATATTCTCTCTCCATGAGCAAACAAAAATCCTCCTTACTTTTGGTCCAAGATGTAGGCTTTAAATGGCAGACACATAGATGGTATTGAGTCTATGAGCGAGTGTACTTGCCCCAGATATGCAACATAAATACAGAAGCAATGAAGAGGAGACTCATAACCAAAACTGGAACAGGACCACTAGAAACAAACAAAAAAGTTGGTTAATCTCAATAATATATAAAAAAATAACTTGTTCTGAAGTTTAGGTAGAACCAGCTAAATCAATTTCAAATCAATTTAATTTGTAAATACACAGACTTAATAACAAAGTTCTCTCCTGAACCCACTCCACAATCCCCACTAAATAAGAGTGATGAGGATCATTGTGTCATCTAGAGCAAAGGTGTTAATACATTAGAAGAATTTAGGTTTTAATAGTGTAAGTTACTCCTTTCAGATTATCAAAACTAAGAATCATTTTCTCAGAATTGGTATCTGCCACATTAAGTTGGAAATCTAAGATTTAATTTTTAATAGCTCAGCTTTGAATTGCTGAAAGGATATGAATGATTCCATTTGTATTGGAAATAATTACAGAAGTATTTAATAGGGCTGTCAATTGATCTGGGTTAATGCCGGAGATTAATGCGGAACAGGAATAATGCATTCATTTTTTAAATATGTTAATCGCAGGTGTTAATGCTGCACTGCCCCTTTGAAGTGCCACTGTGGTGCTTTAAAGGGGTAGCGCATTAGAAACTGGGGATCAGCTTGGGACTCCAGCTGATCCCAGGCTCCATGCAGCACTGCCCATTGAAACACCACCATGCACGATTAAAAAGCGTCATCGTGCAATTACATTTTTAAAATCACTTGACAGACCTAGTATTTAATCATTTACTGCTAATCACCTGTTGAAAACAGGATCGTAGTACTCTCAAACTGTAAACTTTATCACCCCTTTTTTAAATTCAGGTTTCTGCCTCCCATTCTGGTGGGTTTACTACTGAGTTAGGGGCCCAAGCATACTTGTATATAAATAGCAGCTAGTCAAACTTAGGTTCAAAATTAAAATATTTTAGCTTGGCAAGTAATTTATAGCCAAATCCCCAATTTTAAGAAGTCAACAGAATGTAAAATGAAGTGAAGCAACAGATACAATCATTTTTAAGTAGGCTTTTTATATTGGTTATATCAGTTTTAGTTTGATTAAATTTACTGCACGTGGCAATGAAAAATTCACAAGTGGAAGTTCTGTCCATTAAAACTTCTAATCTGAACTTCGTGTGGAAATCTTTTATGCTTGCTAATTCTATTTTTAAGAAGTTATAATTAGAGTATATTTTTGGAAAGTCTCTCCATTTCAATTTTAGACAATGTTAAGCTGGCTGTTCTATGCAGTGACTAGTCTGAAAGGGATTCCAAACAAATTAACATGTGTGTTCTATTACACAATAAAAACATCATTTTCTTACTGTACATCTCATTAATGAAAGAAAATCAGATACAGAGTTTAAGGCAGTATCATAACATTAAGACATCCAAAATTTTAAACCATAATAAGCACTACAGATTTCCAAAAGTATAAGAGTTTTTATGAAGCAGATATTACTTGAACACAAGGTGAGAATGCAACTGAAGCTACTGGCTTCAAGATTTTTCAACTACTCAGGCAATTTTCTGATTCACAGGTTTCTGAAGGTCATCAATTCTCAAACTGTTTTAAATCATAATTGCTATACACTGTGCATAGTCCAGTTTGGCATTTGTACAGAACTCTGAATTGTATCTAACAATAGAGATATGTAGAAGCATTTACTAATCCAAATAATTGTAAAAAAGCACTTATTTTAGTTTTCAATTCCACAGTGCAATTCCATACACAACTTTTGAACCATTTTCCCCATCTTCACAATCTACTTCCAGACCCTAAAAGTACAAATATGAATACATAAAAATTAAAGAAGCCTATGCTATTCCACAATTATAAAAAACAAAAACTCCCCTCAAATATATTTAACTTGCCACTTAAATCAATAAATCATTCTCACTCATTAAAATATAAATCATCTTCAGACTATTCCTATTTTTCATCCTTTCCAAAAGTACAACAGGTGATCTAGTCACTGAATAATTATAAATGTATCACATTTCAGTTAAGACAGATTGGTTCTTCCTCATTTATGGGAACACTAAGGGTACGTCTAAACTACATGGTTCCGTTGACGGAGCCATGTAGATTTGTTTATTTGGCAAAGGGAAATGAAGCCGCGATTTAAATAATCGCGGCTTCATTTACATTTACATGGCTGCCGCACTGAGCCGACAAACAGCTGGTTAGCTGTTTGTCGGCTCAGCGCGCTAGTCTGGACGCTTCCCTGCCGACATGAAAGCCTTTTATCGACATCCCCCGTAAACCTCATCCTACGAGGCATAAGGGGGATGTCGATAAAGGGCTTTCAGGTCAGCGCGGAGCGTCCAGACTAGCGCGCTGAGCTGGCAAACAGCTGATCAGCTGTTTGTCGGCTCAGCGCAGCAGCCATGTAAATTTAAATGAAGCCGCGACTATTTAAGTCGCGGCTTCATTTCCCTTTGCCTATCTGTCTAATCTACATGCCTCCATCGAGGGAGGCATGTAGCCTAGACACACCCAGACTGTTTTCTCTAATAACTCTGATCTCTAGTTGGGGCTAGTGTCAACATACTTTTGTATTTCATTTTAGACTTGTCAAGAAGCCTAGCTTAGTCTCAAGTTTTTTAAATAGGGGGAAATACTCTAAAAGCGGTTTTTGTGATCTGTGGTATCCAACAATAGCTCTTGAGCTGAATATGGCTCAATACGAAACCAAATATGCCTCTTTTGACATTCCCAAAACAAGTGCAACTTTTTTAGATTAAAATTAAAAACATAGAATTTTAAAAATGCGTAATTACTCATATCAAGATGGTCTTTTTCTATCTATTTCACCTTTAACCGGTGGAGAAAGCAAGATGGTGCACCCCGGTAAGAACTGGCTACACTCTGGCAAAAGCCTACTGAGGAACTGTGCTCATTTAAAGGACCGGCTGAGGGCACGCTATAGGGTACGCACATGTGTTCCCTGTTGGGATAGTAAGAGGGACTGGTGACGGCAGCCCCCAACTGAATGCCGCTGTGTCCCCAGCCGCTGTGCTCCTAGAACAGACCCCATGGCTTAGCCACAGTAGTCCCCCGACTGCTACAACAACCCAGTCATGGCGGCCTAGCCAACAAAGCCCCAATTGACTGCAATGTCCTGTCCCTGTCCCCTAACCTGGAGCAGGCCCCAATGTCTGGCCCCCATCTAGCTGCAGGAAGGGCCGGCATGAGTAGAAGGGGAGGCTGCAATCCAGCTGTGGCAATCCTGGCCCGGCCCCTCATCCAGCCACTGCTGTCCGGGTGCAGCAGCCCAGCCAAAGTCAGGTAAGGTAATCTGGTCCCAGGGCCCCCCCACATACTCTACTTTCCATCCCATGTCCTGCAAACTGCACCTCCCACCCACTCCAATTCCCTGCCCTGAGCCCCTCCTACACTTCAACCCTGACACCCGCACCGCCAGCAGCAGTCCCATTCAATAAAATCTGAGTATGTTTCATTTATGCTATTATTAATCATGACAATTATCAATAATATTAAACTGTATGTTCTCAGTTGTGCAAATGGGCATTCTTATACTGGCTCTTTGTTGACCACTTGTGAATTTTGATGTAGTTTGGCTCTTTGGTTTGAAAAGGCTGCCAAGCCCTGCACTGGCCACATGTGGCCATCTGGCCAGTTGAGTGCAGCTAGGTGGCTTTATTTTAGAATAATGTGGCTAAATTACTATAGCAGTAGCCACTATAGTGGCTAATGCTTCAGAACTGGTTGGACACCTTGGCTCTAGATCAATATGATCAACGTGAGATATTCGTTTGTTTGGTGTTTAAGAACCAATTTGTTGTGTCTCAATGTAAGTTCACAATTAGGAAGATTTACAAACCTGATGGAAAGTAGCTGCTCCTACTGGTAAAACTGTAATTTTATAAACGTGCTTTCTGAACTGACTTCACTGTAATCTGACAAACACAATAGCCAAAAAAAAATAAGGATTGTGTCAATGTATGTGAAACATGCAGATACATTTAAGCTAACTTAATTAATACACAGTGGTGGGAAAGGAACTTGACCATACTGACATCTTGGTATGAAAACTTAGGTTTTTTTTTCCTGTACTAGCTTTAAAAAAAAAATACTTTGGTGCAAATATATTAGAATTTAGTTGCAGACAAACTTGACCTCCTTAAGTCAAGTGGTTCCCTTTTTATGAATCTGCATCTGACAGATCTTATATAAGCTGTCTCTTCATAAATACATGCAAAACCAAAGATTCCAAAGTGCATTAGTCTTCAAGGAAGAACTTGGTACCTTGCTAGTTATGATCACTGTTAGGGAGTTATAAACTTCAGTAAAGAAAATGTGTACTAATATTTCTGAAGCACAATCTACTACATCTATATTATACCAGAATGCTAATACTCAGGAACATTCCTGGCTAGAAGTAGTCTGATTACAAAAAAGACGCCTACTCAATACTGATAAATCATTACATCTTTCCATTGCAGTTCAATTTTATGAAAGATCCTTCCTGGAGTCTAGGAGATCAACCATTATCCCCACCAACACACATATGCTTCTCACCCTCATTGATCTCAATATTTTCTCTGACTAGCCAGATGAATTCCCTTATTACAAGTAACATTAAATAACCAAAGCAGCGATGTGATATCTATAGCTCCCTGCCCTGGTCAACATCATTGGCATCAACTTTGATTTTCTACCCAATCTAGTTTTACCAAAACCAAACCATTCTACTCAAGATTTCTATTACATAATCTTGACATTTTCACAGTGATCACAGGCGAGTACCACAAAAGAAGGGTAATAAGGTCCAAGCAAACTATTTTGCTCCAACTATTCTTCCCATTAAAACGTTTCCCCCTCCCCCCGCCATGTTGATTCATAACTTCTTAAAACGTTTAAAGCTTCAATACTTCATTTACGTTCCTCAACAGAAAGTGTTCTGAATAATTCAAGCATTCACATTTGAGGTAACTTTTTCTGAGAGTGATCAGGCATTCAGTGAAAATGTTCAAAAGCTATTTGGTATTACAACCTGTGATTTACTTGGATTGCAGGCCATACCCATGTTTCCTCTAATTTTTGTGTACACATGTGTGGAATGAATTTTGTTGTGTGCACCAATATAAAGGTGATGTGTGGCAAAGGTGGGGCTGAGGGATTCAGAGTGTGGAAGGAGGCTCTAGGGGGGCAAGGAATCCAGCAGAGGGCGAAGGCTCTGAGGTGGGGCTGGAGATGAGGGCTAGGGTGCATGGGATGAGCGCTCTAGGGTAGAGCCGAGAATACGGTGTACAGGGTATGCGAGGGGACTCATGCTGCTGCAGAGAGAGATGACTCCCATCAGTCTTCTCTCACCACAGCAACTTGGGGACAAGCATCTCTCTCCCCTCCTGTGCAGCCCTTGATAGCCTGCTGTGCAGCAGTGCAGCTCTCAGGGAACTTGGGTCCACACACCAAGCAACATGCTTTTTACAAAGGAACCTTGTTGAGCCACTGATGAACTGCACCTGGGTGTTACAGTGCCAGTGCAGCCCCAACATAAGTGAAGCAAAATGCAGGACAATGTAGCACTTTAAAGACTAACAAGATGGTTTATTAGATGATGAGCTTTCGTGGGCCAGACCCACTTCCTCAGATCAAACCCAACATAAGTGTTTCATCCAGAGGGAAAGGGAGAAGCTTTTCAGAAACAGGGTCCTATAGTTTGTCTGCTGAACTAGTGACTAGCAGAGAATGGAGGCAGGAGTTAGTGAAATTCTAATGCTGCAGATCATAATCTATGGGTCGGAGAAGAGGGCAGCACTGACCTTCCAGCACTGAGGAAGCCTGATAAGGGCTTATATTAATCAGGTAGTGACCACTCTCACTTAGACAGGCAAGACATCAAAGGAACCCCAGCAAGTTTCTTTGCAGTGAATGTTTTAACGATTCTCCCTTAGACCTACATACTGTTATTAATAAGGATGTTAAGGAGCAGGTATTTGGCTAATCATGTAGTTGATACAAATATACTGACTACATGATTAGTAGATAAGGGGAGGCACTGTGCAGAGCCACAGCAGGGGTAGCTCCCGGAGCTGGAGGGCGCCAGGACTGAGCGGTCCCAGCTCACGTGGGTCTGGGACTGATGCAACTCTGCCTCCTCTGCAACTCCTCTCCCCACACCACCCAGACAGTGTTGGAGGGGGGAGAGAGGGGGGGAAATGGCTTTCAAGCCAGCTCCCTCCAGCACTGGCTCCTGTCCCCTCCCCCCACTACCTCTGATATACAGGCAGCAAAGGGGGAGGAAGGAAATTAGTTGTCGACTAATCTGCTACTCTTTTACATCCCTAGTTACTACCACATGCAAAAATTCCTGGTTCAGTTGTCTAAGTTCTTATCTTTACCAATTGCTTGTGAGAGTCACAAATACACTAGGAGAAAAGAACATTTCCTTGTGGATATGGATTTTTGTCATTTTGATGAGGTGGGAACAGTCGCTTCTATCAGGATTGGTAATTTCCCAGGAAAAACTACTTTAGGTCAGAGTGCTGGTAAATACTAGTTTAAATCGGGACAATGAAAAAAAAATTAGAATATACTGAGGACTATTACTGAAAAATATTTAGCAATTTGATAATAGTTTTGCAGTAATATGGTCTGTTTAATTATGAAAACAAAATAAAGCACCTCAATCAAAAGTCATATGCTATTGCCCTGGCTATTTCAAACAAAAATGTCTGATTCTGGGAATTTCCCCTTTATTTACTAATCAAGACTAGGTATTTGTTTAGAGAAGGGGGAATTCCCAGATTCAGAAGTTTCCATTTGTTTAAGGTAAACTGCCATACTAACTCCCCACCTCCAAACTGTGTAGCTGAAGGGTAGGCAATAACCCAGAGGCAGTTGACCAGAGTTAGTCCCGGATGGGCCCTGGCACTTTATTTACCTGCGCATCCGCAGGTACAGCTGCTTGAAGCTCCCTTTGGCTGCGGGATCACGGTTCCCGGCCAATGGGATTTGCAGGAACCATCGCAGACTGGGACAGTGCTGTATCAGAGGCTGCAGCACTGGGGCAAAGGGAAGATGTGCCTCCTTCCTTCCCTAAGTTATACCAGTGGTGGGCAACCTGCAGCCCATCAGGGTAATATACTGGCAGGCCATGAGACGTTTTATTGACGTTGGTTGACCAGCACTTCCCGCAGCTCCCATTGACCAGGAACAGCAAACTGCAGCCACTGGGAGCTTTGAGATGCCTTGTCTGAGGACAGTCAACATCAACAAAATGTCTTACGGCCTGCCAGCACATTATTCTGATGGGCTGTGTGTGAACCATAGGCCGCAAGTTATCCACCACTGCCTTAGAAAATTAAACTTAGAAAAGTATTTTTGTAATCACCATCAGCCGGATTAAAAGAATGCCAAGGATCTGTAAAAACCTAAATCCCAAGTGACACAGCACGGAAAAAACAACACGAATGGAAACTCGTATTAAAAGTTGGCCACATTATCTTAGGATTCAGAGTGGTTGTAGAGCTTGAAGATAATAGTGAGCTCACTTTTTGACAGCCAGCTGCAGCATCTGCCTCTTTCTGATTATCAAAGATAGCCGAGAGGGTACACACGGAAGGAAACGGGTGTAATGGGCAAAAAGACTGATTAAAAGCACCTTAGTCCTCTGTTGTAAGGATGAAGAAACTTAAGATAGGGAGAAAATATGTAACAATAGAACAAAATTGTGCAGTATGTGTCAGCCCAAGCTAAAAATGTTAGCTTTTTAACATCAGCACGTGTTAAAGACTTCTTCGCTTCATTATGTTTAACTCAAGACCTGTGGTTAATGAAGTTAATGTCTGACGGATCCCATTAGCAGTGAATTGCTTCTGTATGTATATATTATTCCCAACTGCAAATGATATATATAGATATATAATGGTTCGGTATTTCTGCGAAGTGTTTTTATTGAATAAAACCCCAGAAAAATATAAATAATGAAGTCTTAGAGCTTAAATCTGAAACTACTTATACATGTGCTTTACTACTCTGAGTAACCCCTTTTGATTTCTGTGGGACTGTTCATAGTATTCAATCAATGCACATGCCATGTCTGCAAGCTGGGGAAAAAACAATTCAAGCAGTCTCTTGACTGGATTGCATTCAACTTAAACATCTACCGACAGAATTAATCTTTCACATTTTCATAACCAGATCTCCTCAAGGCATTCCTTCTGGCTTATCTAAGCAACTGTGGTTTTTCCACATTTTTAATGCACAATATGAAGGCCAGAACAAATGACCTCTGGAGCTCCGACTACAGTGTCTAGACTTAAAACAACACACTCTTGCTGCTTCTTTGACTTACACTTTGAGCCCCGGGGAGTCCTCTGTGTAGAATCTCCACATGCCGCCAGTGCCTGCGGATGTAGTACGGCCCGCACTTCTAGTCCCACAGCTGGCATTTTTCCTTCAAAGGAAAGGCAGGGGAATCAGCACCTAACCTGCATTAGCCCTCAGCTGAGCACCCAACCACCAGCGTTCCAAGGGTAGGGATATAAAATCTTGTTTAACTAAGACAGCAGGCTAACTGATGAAACGGTGGGGAAGAAAGTGGCAGGTTGAGGCGAAGGAGGGGGGCACTGCCAACTGCCTCCATGGGCAAGGAGTCGGCAGCCCCCCAGAGTAGGTCTGAGGTGACCACGGGGCTACGGGTAACAGTTAGCCTTTACCCTGCAAGCATCACCTGTGAAGACTGACACTTACCAGGTAAGGGGTTAGCCCCTCTCACCCCTATCCCAAAGGCCCATTGTGAAGCTCCCCGCCCAGCCCATTTCTGCAGCTCGCAGACCGAGGGCCAGGCCGGGGCTGCCCTTAGCCACAGAAGAGGGGAGACGGTTCCTCTC